TGTTAGTGTTGCCTGACCCACCCACACTTGCCTGACGGTGTAGCCGCTCTCGCCGCCACGCGAAGTCTGGCGTTGTACTCCACGGATTGTCTTGCCGTGCCGCTTCCGAGTCCCCCCGGAACCGTTGATTACGCCCCCTCTGGCCTTCTGATATATCTATATATGTAAACGTACATGTATATCCAAATTTTGAAATTTCTTCTGAAGTTACTGAACGGCCCCGGAGTTGGTGGTTCTGGGTACGGGTTTTTAGTTTTTTTTGTCCAAAGTCAATGTACGCATCTCAGTGGCATTCAAGTGTTTGTGTCCGCGGATTTGAAAGGGCAGTAATATAATTTGTGACCTTAACCATACTTGCCGCGCAAGTACCAGGAAGGAGCTGACTTTCGACACCTTTTCGAACCTTCGCACATTTCTGTTTGGCCCGACGTTGCCCGTGTGGTTTTTTGTCCTAGCATGGTTCTGTGTTTCGGAATTGGGTTCCAACTTTGATGTAAAGTATAGAAGCGTGAACGCACAGGTTCTGTTGGAGGTTTTCTTTTGGGGATCACGGATGATGGGTTGTATGGTTCAAATCGCATCACTGGGTGTGCGTGATTGGCAGTCCCGAGCGGCGGTCTGTTCTCTGCAGTACTCACTACGCAACCTTCCGCGCCTTTTAGAAGAGAACTATGCCAAACTGTTTTAACCAGGCAGTCGGCTAAAGGAGGTCCGCGTTGGGGGTTGTGCGGGCTTTTTTATCCACTTAATTGTTGCTTTTCTGTAAACGAGACTGGCACGGGTTTGCTTTCGTTCTCCCTACACCCGACCCTAGGGCGCATGGTTATCGGCAAGTTTACTGGTTTTTGGAGGTGTTTGGTTGCAGGCATCTTGAGAGCCCGAGTCGGCGTGCGCTCAGTGCTTAGCCTTTTCCTGAATAACTGTACCAAGTAGGACACAGATATGCCTGCCTTTCTCGTCCATAAACATTCCTCCTACGAAGTGCTCACATCAATGCATTGAAGCAAGCATGCAGCCCAAGTACGATTTTCTAAGAACACTTTTCGCTAAGATGTGGTTATGTAGCCGAACCTGATGGACACAATACTGTTGACTCACCTAATTATTCTGAGTTGGTGTGATTTCGTCGGCATGGTGTTGCGGTGTGGGCTCTGTTGGCGGCCTTGTTTCTTTGTCGCCGTGTTTACCTTTTTGGCTCAGTGCCGGTGGTCCTTCTTGACCTTCGGCCTGCCATCTCCTTCCAACTTTCGCGTTAGGCGTTTCTGGGTTAGAATTTAGCGCTGCATTTAAGGGTTAAGGCAACTATTTCTCAACCACTCAAAGCACAACCGCGCATTCCCAGTAGCTTTTCTTTCGCATACAACTACTTGACCTCGTTGCCCGTGCGTTCCCCGGCCCCACCTGTAAAGCCTGTTGCCACCGCTCCCGTGTTACAGGTGGCTGGGGTTTGTATGCCTCAGGTGGGGCTACATAACGACATCTGACCCACTTTTCCTCCTAAAATACTCCTATTACCATCATCACCACACTGGAGGTGACTTTGATCCATAGTTCGAGGGGGGGAGTGCTCGTATCCGCGTTGCACCCTTCGCCCGCCCTCTGCTCGTCTGCAACTTTTGCGGTTCTGGGATGGTGCGCGAGTGTCTGAGGCAGAGGTTCCTTCCTTGCCACCTGCAATGCCTTCGTTACTATTACCAGATAATTCCGCTCAAATGAGGGAACGAGATTCCATGGTAGAGTAGTTTAAAAAATTCGACGCTAACTTGAGAGAAGGTAGTAGTCTGACGTTCGTGAAGGCTCGCCAGGTCGAAATGATTTCCTGAAGCTACCCCCACCCACTCGGCACACTAGCTAGACAGATGTGAAGGCCCCTCGTAGTAGTAGTAGTAGTAGTAGTAGTAGTAGTAGTAGTAGTAGTAGTAGTAGTAGTAGTAGTAGTAGTAGTAATAGTAGTAGTAGTAGTAGTAGTAGTAGTAGTAGTAGTAGTAGTAGTAGTAGTAGTAGTAGTAGTAGTAGTAGTAGTAGTAGTAGTAGTAGTAGTAGTAGTAGTAGTAGTAGTACGTCGCCCCGCCTACTCGTACGTCAACGTGGATGTGCGCCGCGCGTGTGTTCGCGCAGCATTACAGCAGCTTAAAGGGCCCGGCAGCCCCCGATGACGCGCCTCTGTCGGCGTGACTCATAACTGTGGCCAAGCAGGACGTAATTTTCTCATTTCCATTTCACAGCTGCGCTGCTGTTGATCCCTTTCGGTCTACAGTCTTCAAAGAAGGGCAGGAATAGTGAGATATCATTGGGCGCGCATTATTTTTTCTACCAAGACTCCCATCTATGGACGCGTCGGCGCCCCCACGAATCTCTCATTGGACAGGTCGTTTCTGGGTCAGTAATTAAACAGGGCTCACCCCTCTTAATTAAAGCTGCGACAAGCGGGGGTGGATGTGCGTGAAAAACACACTCGGCCATTGCAGAGACGTGATTCAGCCTATATGCGGGCTTTCTACTAGTCGGCATTAGCCCATGGTAACTGCGGGGTTGACCCGCCGTTTGTTTGCGACCGTCGTGAGTTGATTACTGCCACCCCCATTTTGGCCGCAAGCGAAGTCGTGGTGGTTTTGAGTTGTGTTTATTCCTGATTCCTTTCCAATCCACATGTAACGGTAAAACATGCCTCTTTGCTTGAGGAGACATGGCCGACAATACACTTGCGCTCGCCAGTTTGCATTTTGGAATGCCTTCTGTGGAGATTTGTCTTTGGGTGGATAAGAAACACCTTGGTAGAGTGACGCTCACGAATCGCTCTTGCGCAACTCACTCGTCCCGTTGTGCCTTACAGGCTCTCTCTCTCGAGCCCAGCCGGCAGCCGCACAGCGGTGCACGATATAGGCAGAATGTTATTACCGACAAAGACAAAGAAACACCTCGACGCGTCTTGGCCGAAATGAAATAAGTCTTAGAGGGGGGTTTCCGATATTGGATGAGAAACACTGGAATAGCCCTTAGATGTCGTTACTCATCGATACTCCAGCTGTCGGTGCACTCAGGATATGAACCCGAGACAGGATTCTCGTCAGTGCGATGTTTAAAAAAGACGGGAAATCTTGTTGTCCTTTATGAAAATCAAGCTGCCCATGTGTGCGAATATGCGGGCGATAGGAAGTGGGTGGACGGAGGAGGACTCTCCCGCTGGAATGGGGACTTCATCTGTCTGTGTTTTCAGATCATTAGACACAGCCAACGATGGTCTGGTTGATTAATCATTGCAGGAAGCGTCGATACTACACAGCTGCTGGACTTTGCCAACAGCGATCCAGTTGCTCACAAGTACAGTCAGTGATCGATCTCATGAAAAGTTAACCGAAATTCTGAAAGGCTTATTCGGCTGGGAGGGATTACTTAAGTTTGCGTTCTAATGTTGACTATCATGCAGCATAATTCCATGATATTTCAGACGTGTTAGAATGTTGACTTTTGAATTCATCCCTTTTCGGTTGTCTGCGGAATCACATTTAGTAAAAACTAACTACTTATGTAGCATCGATTTTCGATGCTCTTATAAATCAAATATTTATAAATTCAGGTCCGGCGAACGTAACCTCTCGATTATTTATCATCAGGCCTGCACAGTTATATAGATGAGGGCAGAATATAAAAAGTTAAACAGTCAATAAAAGTCACTATGGGGGGAGAGAGGGTCGAAGGGCGTTCAGAGGCCAGGGATCAGAGTCCAGTTCCTTCAGGAGCTTAGGGAGGGGGAGGGGGAAGGTGTTTGGCGATCACCTGTCCCTGTTTCATCACTGTAGCGCGACGTGGCGGGTATGAACACATATGCTGGGTTTGTCTTTGACCAGGGGAGCCTTAGCGCTTATACAAACGCTTTATACAAACGCAAGGTTGGTTTGGCTAACCGTATGGCCACTGCCTCTGCCGTCTCAAGTATTCGCTGACGCAGAAACTTGAAGTGTCTCACCGGGACTTTATAGATGGCTCGGAATGCTTGATTGACGTCTACCCGATGACGGCTGCAAACCAAGTGAGTCACAGTTACGCTACAGATGCGACTTTTCTCTACCCTGATTCAGCCAGACAGGATGGTGCTCTCGCGTTCGCTTGGATAAGCGCCCAGTCGTTCGACCAATACAGCCTGTCACGTAGGAGCAAGTGAAAGTGTAGATGCACACTGAGGAGGTCTAAAAAGGCATTCTTTCCTTGCCTTCCTTCAAGGCGAATAAGTGGAATGCTTGTGAACACCAGACTTAGCAGTTGCGTACGTGCGCGCGATAGCAGCGTTTAAACGGTGATGTAGTAGTTCATTCACCGGATCCCCTCCAAATGGCAGTGTGACAGCCGTCGACACATCAGATTTAGGAGGGCATTCCTCCATATATTTGCTGATAGACTTTTCGGGGTAGCCGTTTTTTCTCAGAGTGTTTTGTATAATAGCGAGTTCATTCTCAAGCCTATCTGGAGTGTATATCCTTCTATCTCGACTGGTGAGACAGCGGACCAAGCTTCGTTTTATGACGATGCATACTCGAAAGCCTACGTTTGTTGGAAATGGCCTCTTAAATGTTTACATGGAGGAAGTGGACAACACTTCGCATTTTACGATATTCTACTGTGGAGACCAGAACGAGAATATGAGGAGGGGGGGGGGTGCTGAATTAAACTGCCAGGTTGGGCATTATGGGGACGAGCGACACTCCAAACCTTATCAGCACATCCTAGCAGAGGGCAAGGAGACTTGTGGGAATTCTAAGGCAGCCGCTTGGACCAGTTGGGTGCGCAGGTTCGTCTCTCCCCCCCCCCCCAAGGAAACAACTGTTTGCAGAATTTCCAAAAGAAAACATGTCACAAGATGTACATTCGGGAAAAAAGGAAAACAATTTTGTAGGTGTTTTGGCAGATTAGGAATAATTTATTCTGATCCGGCTGTGAAAAACCTGACGACCTCGGTGGAATTCGAACCCGTGACAACGAGGGAAAGGCTTGAGTACCGGTAACACTCCAGTCACCTGTGTTACAAGACCCCATGGGGTCGCTTCAAAGCGTAAACGCCTCGGGATATTTCACACGACAGGAGCCTGACCGTTGTCGCCAGAAAGATCTGAAACTCGTGGGAAATCACCTGTGGGATGTTGACTCCCTCAAGCATTTTTCGTCTAAAGGGCAATCCGTGGATGCGAACAGCAGACGGTTCTTGAGTCGACCGCCAGGGCAAATTATGGAATGCCTGTTTTCGATCCTGTAAGCATATCTGACCGCATTGACTCCCTCTCCATCTGACCCCTGTTGTATTCATACCTATGCGATATCCGAGCCAACCTTACTGTGACCCAGTATATGCAGAGTGGGGAACGGATTGTGCGCGGCACGCGTAGACCATATATTCAGCTTTAGTGGCCGTTGCGGTGCCCCAAATCGCGGTGGTTTTGGACTTTATCTTTCTGTCGGTGCACGGCTGCCATGTGAGGTGACTGCGAAACAGTGGGTGCGTATGGCGCATTTCCTTTGGTTTCCACAGCCTTGTAGAATCAAATCTCCGACTGACATATCTGCCGCAGATTACTTGCTCTGACAGCTATTCACCAGCTGTCCTCGTTTCGTATCGCCCGACTGTCGAACTGTATGTACTATTTACTCACTTAAGCAGCTGCTTGACCCGTAGCGGCGAGCTTCCTACTGGGTGAGGACAAGTTCTTAATGAATCGCTCCAGAGTGAAGTCCCAAAACCCCACTCATCAGAGACGCCTCCTCTCCCCGCACAGGTCGTACATAACACCTGTCATAAGTGATTTGTTTAAAATAAAGGACAACTGTACGATTGTAAGTGAGGAGAGAAATATCCCAAAAATTCCTGCGTCGTTTATTGACAGCACTGCGCAGGCCTTATGAGGGCCTGCACACGTTTCTATCTTCAAGATCCCCACTGGTTACACTAGGTGGGCTAGCTCATGAAATTTAAACTGAAATTCCGAAATGCGTTTTCGTTTCGAAGAGATTAATTAAGCAGGGTCAGTCTGTAGTATAATTGTATAATAATTAAGTTACCCCAGGATACCGGCTTTCGTACAAACTTCGTCCCGACTGCACAAGAAAACCATACTCTGTAAAAAATGACTACATAAGTAGCATGCATTTTTCTCGTTGATTTTCGATACCCCTAAGCGTCCAATCATGTTTCATGAAAAACATGCACAAAACCATTCACTCTTCCGCTCATTCGGTAGAAAATTACGCCTTTTTCAATTTATACTCGAAGGAAGGGTATTATTCGGTTTTTAAAAACTTGTCCAATCCCCGAAAAATTTTGAACCCGCTCTGCCGCCACACTTGCATTCAGGGTTTCCAAACTATAAGTCATGTATTTTCCTCGTACGGGAAATCACACATTTCTCTGCAGCATTAAGAGGAGACCATATAGGGTTCATAAAATTTGTCACTGGATTTGATCAGTATTGTTAACTTTAGAAGCCACATTGGTAAATGCAGAGACATGACGTTTTGTGAACGGCCATTTCACGCTATTTAAAATTCTCACAATTAGGAACTTTTTCAAAACCGAATTATGTTTCTCCTTCGAGTATCAAATTGAAAGAAGACGTAATTTTCTACCGAATGTGCGAAAAAATGAGTATTTGTATGCATGCTTTCCAGGAAATATAATTGAATTTCTAAGGACATCGAAAACCAATCGGAAAATGCCTGCTACGTATGTAGCCATTTTTTGCAGATTATTGTCTTTGCATGCAGTCGGGGGGAAATTCATACGAAAGCCGGTATTCCGAGGTAATTGAATCATTATAGAATTATGCTGCGCGATGATGAATTTTATAACCCTTCTTAATTAATCTTTTCGAAACGAAAACGCATTTCGTGATTTCAGTTGACATTTCATGAATTAACCCACCTACTGTAGGTGGATGTGCTGATGGATCCCTGATGGTGGGACTAAACCTGACCCCGAAAATTGTCTTGTAAGAGCTACTACCTGCGGTGGAAGCATGGCCCCCTTTTCGCCTCTCCTCATCTAATTTTAGACCGAACAGCCTTCCCCACGCCAAAATTGCTGTGTTCCGTAGGCATTTCTTACACTCATAGTTCTCTCCCCCCCCCGGCGCGGGTCTACCAACGGAGACTGCAAGCCAGTGTCCAGTAAGTCGGCTTCACACCGAGCTTGCAAATCGTCTCCTTTCACCCTGAAAAGAGAACGGCTGAGCAGCTGGTTAGCGCAAAGTGACTTGTGCAACCTATTTTAGGATGAAATGCTATTACCGACAAAGACATTCTCTGCCTACATTATGCGCCGCTGTGCGGCTGCTAATTGAGCTCAAGAGAGGAAGAGCCGGTAAAGCACAGCGGGACGCGTGAGTTCCGTAAAAACGACCGGTGATCGTCCCTCCACCACTATTTTAGGATCTTGTAGACGTTCTGGTGAGAGCAGATTTGAGCGAAGAAGCATATTTTAATGCCATTTGAACCAGCATATTTGCACACCCAAGAGCAACTTTGGTTTTTGGGGCAGTAGTTTCCCTCGTCAACTATGGCCTCTCCAAACAACAATTCACGAAAGCTCTACTGTCCAGAAAAACAATTCGTCCACGAAGTTAGGCCAATTTCGCATCCCCTAGACAGCAGCTTTGAGAAAGTCACCATGTGAAGGGAATAGATGCGAGAATCAGTAAGTCTAATCTGTTTACCACCGCCATGTGTTTTACAGCTGAACGAGATCAGGGACGGTGATTAGTGCTTGAATTAATTTATAGTGACTGTAGATCGGCGCAGCATCTATCGCACACATTCCTACCCTCCCAATTGGGCCCGGTGTGGGGACCATGTCCCGAAGATCGGAGGTGGTGGAGTGCGCAGATGACCGGCGCGGTCGGATTCGCACCCAGGCGTGCCGCCAAACCCAACTCGAATCCCGTGGAATGGGAGTGCCATAGAGGCTATATGAAGAAGGAGCCATTGCATCCTGACTCTCAATCCACCAGTCCGCCGCGTTGTACAAACACGCACTGGACTGATTGTAAGTTTCGAGTTATGCCGCTGGTTGGCAACCTTTCAAATCACGATTTTTTTTAGCGTACCGTAATAACTTCAAGCGCGTCAGATTGTTTATGATGAGGAAAATGAGCTCAGCCCTCGACCTCACTCTCTATTCTTATTCTCGGGCCCCAACCACTGTTCGACCCGGTTAGATGTCTGATGTTGGCAGTGGGCGCAGTAAGTTAGAGGGCTAGAGAGCCCGTCTGTGCGCGCCACATGCATGACCCGACCCCACGGAGGAACAGGCAGGGGGGAGGGGCAGAACGCTCAGGTCTCGCCTGGCAGAGAAGGAGCTACAGGGGGAAAGGAACTGAAGACCAGTCTTGGACATACATGAGAAGTGCCGGTGACTTGGGATGTTGGAGGGCCATATGCCTGGCGCATGTGTTGATGTGATCGTGTCTGCGATGATTTGAAGCAGGTTTTCATGAAGGTGTAAGGACCAAGTCACAAGGACCAGAAGTAGGTGAATGCGTGGCTGGCTGGTGCGTGGATACGGATGTCGATTTGTTGATCTCTCCTCTGTCATTCCTGTCAATTGATGTCAAATTTTAAAAAAATAATCTCAATCTGTCTCTGCTACTAGCCGCTTTGCGGTCGTCCGCGAGGTTCTAGATCCAGCACATCGGAATGAGCCCGTCCTGTAGCGCGACAGGTGAACGTCCTTTCAAATAAGGCAAAGCTTGTTGCTGTCATTAACCCAAGAGAGCTTTATAGTCACACTGACGCTTCTTTCACGAAACTTCGCCTTCCATCTTTTTGATTTACTGTTTGTGACTCGGGTCGAAACCTCGAGGACGCTGGCAGAAAACTAAGTCTGCAGTCCGTGCTGGTAACTTTCCTCGGTCACATCTCATCAAATGTAGACCAACTTAGTCGCGAATGAAGAACTGGTGTTATCGACGAAGACAAGGGAGACTGGAATGGCAGTTTCTGGCTTATTAGCCGTCGTCAGTCAGTCACACACAGCCCCGAAGCATGGAACACATGGAGTTCGATCCCGCGACCTGTTAGTCGGAAGTCCAACGCCTCTAGCCACAGAACCACGGGCTCGTTGCTTTGTCGGTTGCGTTCGGGAATATACAATAGAAGAGATGCACTCACCGATCGTTTCTACGGCACTTTCTCGTCCCGTTGGGGTTGGGTATGGCTGGCTGACGACGGCTAACAAACCAGAAATGACCATTCCAGTCTCCCTTGCCTTTGTCTGTAATAACATTCTGCCTAAATGATGGGCCGCTGTGCGTCTGCTGGTTGGACTCGAGAGAGAGAGCCCGTTAGGCACAACGGGGCTAGTGAGTTCCGTAAAAGTGATCGGTGAGCGCCCCTCTACCAAAGTAAAAACTGCCTGTTTCAAAGCAAGAAAAGGTAAGTAGCGTTTTGAGATGTCGAGAAATTTAACGATCCCCACCTCCTGCTGCCAGCTGCAGAGTTAGGAGATATCCCGCGCCGGACCCGACTATTCGTCATTACCTTCTTGTTTTCTGTTCACTTGATTCTTACCCGAAATCTTTGCTTGCAGACAACCTGTAGTCGTGGAAACTGAGGCATAACTTACAGGGTACCAAAATTGCTCAACAGTAGTCATAACTTTGTTCAAGTCATAATTCTGCATAGATTTCGTTCCCCAAAAAACCACATCTGTCTACGAGCATTTTCGTTCCCGGAAAGCCAAGAAGGTAGGGAGTTTGAGGGTGGACGAAAGATATGAAACTTCTTTAACCGAAACATAGCCAAGATGCAGGCTTATAGGACACTGCTGATATTTCTGTGAACGACCCAGTCTTGCGGACAATTCGCACAGAGGAATTACCTACTTTTTGATCCAAACAGGTATGCGAGTTCTTGCAGTCTGTTCAGAAGAGGGAGGCACAATCATCAGAACAAAAATTTTTATTAGACTAACGACTTGAATACGAAACTAACTATTTAATGACGATGAAAACTCACATAGTAGTCGCTAGTGGAGACTGCTGGGGTGCCACTGAGTTGGTAATAACTGTCACAGCAGGTGCGGTGCTCTTAACCCTCTAGAATTAGTCAAACTTTGGTTTTTGCACCTAACCGAGTTACAACACGGGCCCCAGCAGTATGATCTCCGCTTGGGCACGGGTATGTGTACGCCCCCCCCCGCCCCCCAACATACATAGTACAAATGACCTCGTGTTATATTTCAAGGGTGGGAATTAAGGTCGGTGTGAAGGGTGGTGTTAGGGTTACGATTGTGCTTAGGGAAGTGATGGTTAAGGCTGTGATCTCCCCCCCAAACGGACCACGTGGTAGATACGCTGGACCAACGCGAGTGCCGTATGGGATCCTGGCAGGCGTTATCGGACTGTGCACCATGAAAAAGGCCAAAATCTCGGTGTGCGACTGCAGACCTAGTTGCCGGCAGACTTCGCGCACATTGGGACCCCTGTGGCTCACCCCACCGATGCTGCTGGTTGAAATCTTGGTCAATTTCTGTGTGAACCAGCGGGTGTGGAGTGGAGCGCCAAGGTGCGGGCTTGACTGTGCCATCTACCTGCGTCCTCCCTCACCTCCGGTCTTCTTGACGCTGAGCCCATGTGGAGGAGGAGAGAGTGCGGTAGACACAGCGAACGTCTACATTCACTAGAAACTAAGTCAACCGCAAGTCACCGTGTCTGCTTCACGTTGTGGAGAAGCACACGGTGGACATTGTCGGCCACGACGGTGGAACTGTCAATGGTTAAGACTAATGTTAGGGTTGGAGTCGGAACTATGACGGTTACTTTCAGGGTTATGGTTATAGTCTGAAAGGGACACAGGAAAACGCACCTCCACTGGAAACTGACGCAAGGGACGCTCATAAACCAGTGCCCCAGGACTATCATCTCTGTATCAGTGATTGGACAGGATGGAGAAGTTTACGGTTGGTTATGCAACCAGTGCTTGATGTGTGCTTAGCTGGTAGATCCAGCTAATTCATCTTCTGCAGAAGTAATTCAGCGATTACCTGAACTCATCGATTAGCTGATAAGTGAAAGGATAGCACGGAAGACATACACACTTCCGCACTACTGTGTTTCAAGGGGCCATACGACTGAATAGCGTAAGTGTAACGGGGTTATAATTCAGGAGGCAGTACAACAAGTATGTGTTTAGGAAGAGGTTCGCACGAGTTCACGTAGCTTTTGTTGGGGTGGTTAGCCCGTTGAACATGAACGATTTGAGACTTGGTCACTCTGACGGCGGAGTCGTGAGATATCGTCATATTAGACTAGTAATTTCGAGAAACTACCCAGAGTCAAGTTATTCATACCCTTAGATCAGCAAATCCTGAACGAGGTTAACTTCCGAGTGTGGGGAGCATACTCCCATGCGTTTAAAAGCGTTTTCTACTGGGACGCACAGGACTTGTCGTAGGGACTTATGATGATTCTGCGGCCTGCAGGGGGCGACTAGAGGCAAAACCTCATTGACGTCCATGGGTGGCCTGTGATTATCGAGTTTGTGACAAGTATCTCCTGCAGCAACGAGTTCAGCTGTTCTTGCCCTGTTCGCCGTAAGTAACTTCACAGTTATACACAAAGCGAACAAAAACATCGCCACCAGAACACTTCATTAAAACGCCAGCGAATCAACTCAACGACCCGGGCACAAGATTGGCAGGCCTGTGTCCACGACTATAGCCACCATCTTCGAAGTCAACAGAATAGCCGCAATTCACGCCAAATACTCAAACGCTTCGCGCCAAGGACGTCGGAACCAAAATTTTCTCATTGTGCCCTTGCAGTCAGCAGACATTCAGGACGTGGATCGACCTTGTAGGACATCAACAGACCCACCGCAATGGCAACACAATTCATCCGCCTCACATCTCACAACGCACCATCACTACCATCACAACCACTAGCCTCGTCAGTAAGGACGTTTCTATTGTTATGCGAAGCATTACCACCACCGAACCTAACACCAACAGTGTGGGCACAGTCCCAGCTCCTCGCCATCGCGATGGCTCCCGACAAAACGCATATGCCTGGTCGTTTACTTGTGAATCCATCGCACCGCGACGTACTAACCGGCGTCTGTAGCCCCGGCATGACATTTTGACAGTCTATTTCGATGGTATCCGACATGTGCTTTACAGCAGAATGAGATCAGGGACGGTGACTTGAACTTGAATTAGTTTGTGGTGATGGTAGGCTTGCGCAGCATCTACTGCACACACTCCTCCCCCACCTGGGCCCGGTGTGAGGACGAAGTCACGAAGATCGGAGGTGGGAGAGTGCGCAGATGGCCGGCGCGACCGGAGCTGATCCCAGGAGTGCCACCATACCCGGTCCGGATCCCACTAGGTGGCCGCACTAAGAGGGAGCCTCAGTGCGTAAGTCTGCCACACCACACAAACATACACCGAGCTGATTGTGAGTTCCGAGTTATCCCGTCAGTTGGCAACCTTTCAAACCACGGCTTTTAGAGCACCTTAATAGATTCAAGCGCGTCAGGTTGTTTATAATGATAAAATGCGCTGAGTCGTCGGTCTCTCCCTTCCCACTCCCAGGCCCCAGTCAACTGTTCGAGCCGCTCAGGTGTTCGATGCTGGAAGTGGAAGCAGTGGCTAACAGAGCTACAAAGTCCGTCTGTTCGCGCCACAAGCCCGACCTGACCCCCTGGGCTCATTCATGAGGATCACACACGCAAGGGGGCAGAACGCTCAGGTCTCATATGACGCAGAGGGGCCACAAGGTGAAAGGAGTTGAAGACTACATTTCCACTTACGTGAGAAGTGCCGGTGAGTAGGAGGGATGTAGGAGGGCTATGTGCATGATGCATGTGTTGATGTGGTTGTGTATGCATGACTGGACTCAGGCTTTCATGAAGGCGCATGCCACCTGAAAGGCCCATGCGATGTCTGCATGTAAGTGTGCAGTGCAGGCAGTGTAGGTGCGTGAGGTGTGTATATGTGTGTGTGTGTTTGTTTGCGTTGATGCCCCTGGCACCAGTTTGCCAGTCTCTGTGCGATGGGCTCGCAGGTTACCGACCATGCCGGTGCGTGGTGTGGTGGCATTGGAAACTCACGCACCTCATCCGCTTACAATGTCCAAGGGTATTCAGACACCACACAGGTCTTTTTGGCCGTATGCGTACTCATCATCACCATCGGCATCACCAGTGCCAGAATCACTTATAACACCACCACACCGTCAGTTCACTAACGACGGTCTCATCCAATTCTTATCGCTACCGCACATTAGCATCACGCACTGGCCTGGTCGGGTACTTACGAATCCATAGCACTGAAGCCAGCAAACCAGTTTCTGCAGCCCCAACTGCTCAAGGATATTTGGCCATCGCTTGTGTGAATTAGGCCTTATGCGCCCCCCTAGGACAATCCTCAATAAAGCCGCACCTCAGACCCATTATCAAACCTCGTCCTACTTGCCCATACATACATCCCTAGGGCATACCATGAATCGCACCCCTTGACGGTTATGCGGTTTTCTAGCAGTAAGCATATGATCCTGTCCGCCTTTGCCGGAATGGCGGACGCGACGTCGCAGGTGCACACCTCACGCAAGCAAGAAGCATGTTCTGTAATGCATCATGGTATATGAAGTGATGATAGGATCGTTCTTAGCTTCGTAAGCCATTAAACGCAATTGCTGGTTGGCACACCCAAACAGTCAGCTGGTGTACGGGAGGAGGAAGAGGGAGAATGAGGTCAGCTCTGGTGAACTCATTCCCACGACACTTCAGCGCCTAGCCCACTATAATAAATACGATACGATTTTAAGCTATCAAGACGGCCTAGAGGACCACCAGCTGACTGAATAACTCGGTCCTCGTATGTATCCCCCAAACGGGCCACGTGGCAGATGTGCTGGACCAACACGAGGGACATATTGGACTCTGACAGGAGTTATCGAGTTACGCACCATAACAAATGCCAAAATTTCGGAGTTCGGTGGCGGACGCCGTTGCCGGCGTACGTCGCGCACACTGGGAATCTGCCCCCTCCTCCACTGTTGTTGTTAATCAAAAACCTGGTTATTTGTTATATGGACCAGGGGGTGTGGAGTGAAACGCCGAGGTGCGGGCTCGACCGCGCCATCCACCTGCGTCCTCCCCCGTCTCCGGAGTTCTTGGCTCTGTCTTGACACCGAGTCCAGGCGGGGTTGTGGAGGAGAGAGTGCGGTAGGAGTGTGCAAGTCTGCTCTCACCCTGATGTGGAGCACACGATGGACATAGTCGAAACCGAGGGTCGAACT